GGAGTCCCGAAGAGAAAGATCAAAAAAACTGCTCTTTCTGCTTTTCTTTCCAAACAGTCCCAATTTTTGTGAGATCCAGTTATGGATACAGATACGGATATGGTTAAGGATTTGCAGATGGCTGTAATATAGGTGGGGATGTAAACAATGGGATGCCAGTTGTTATGTTAATAGAGAGATACTAAATTGAAAGGGGGCTCATATGTGTAAGGACACCGGCTTTATCAACTCTAGGAGTACTGTCCAACTTTCCTGTGGGCCTCTGACATTACACGGCCTGCTCCCATGATAACACTCGGCATCATGAGCTCCACATGGTTTCCTATTACTCTACAAGTCCCACTGCTCTGGGTCTTTTCTGCATTATCCAGGGAATTGCGGTGGTCATGATTCCAAAGAGTGGGTCCCAGTCTCAGTAATACTTGCTGTTTACCTGGGACCTGGTCCTCAAGAGTTTTTGTAAGGTCTCCTTCCTCTAAGAATAAGCGTGTAAAAGGACTTATCTGCAGAACTCCAACTCCTCACTTCAGGAAGTGCTGATTAAGGAGGTCATCTGTGAAGTCCTGGTATCCATCAGGACCCTCACACATCCACTGATGCCACAAATATTTAGTGATGTCCATCATACGAGGTGCTGGGGAGAGTATGAGCCAAAGCAGACACTGTCCTGCTCTCATGGAGCTTCAAGCCCAGTGGGAGATAGAGACATAATCAACCCACCATAAAACCATAACTGACACAAGCTCAAGTTCAGAAACCATGAGCATCTAGTAGGGCGGGAAGCTAGAGGAAGCTTCCCTGATAGTGAAGGTGAGCTGAGGCCTACAAGAAGGGGAAGAATGACCTGTGGGAAGAAGACAAGAGGGCAAAGATGAGCATTCCAGACTAAGGGAACAGAAGGTACAGAGGTCCAAAGGTGGGGGGCAGCCTGGGCAGGATGAAGGGTTAAAAGAAAAGCAGAAGAGAGAGAGAATTGAGAATGAGGCCGCGACATTAAATTTATCCGTCTGAAGGGCAATGAGAAACCACTGATGGGTTTTTAAAAGAAGGGGAACTGATTGGATTTCCAGTCTGATCTTGACTTGCAAGATCCCTGACAGTAGATATAAAGCCTGGGTTTCAGGAGCCAAGGGCGATGAGGAAACCTTCAGATCTTCCAGAAGCAGCTGTAACCTGCTCTGGAGATATTGGGATCTCCAAAGAGCATGAGACAGTCAGAGCAAGTGGCAAAGTGTCGTGGACTGGTGAGTGGAAAGTTCTAACACCGAACGTGCCTCTATGGTCTTGATGAAGTGAGGTGATCTGGCCTAGCGTTGCTGGGGAGGGCTCTCTCCTCTCTGATCCATCTGTCTGAGATCAAGCAGGAGGGCCTGGAATCCCAATCACGAAACCAGAAGGATGCTTGGGAGACTGGAGGGACATCCAGGTGTCCAAGACCCTCCACACTGGCCCCATGCCCCCACCCCCAAGCTGCTGTGAGTGTTGGCTGTCAAGGGCTCACAGTTGCCCCGTGTCCAGACAATCGCCGTGGGCCACACGGAAGCCACCTAGCCTGGGAGGTAACACCACCCTCCCACCTCCCACCCCAGCAGCCTGCAGCAAAGACCGACTGTCCGGTAAGCTCAGGCTGCTATGACAAAACACCAGAGACTAGGTGACTTAAACAACATTTATTTCTCAGAGTTCTGGAAGCTGGGAAGTCCCATATCAGATTCCTGGTGAAAGCCCTCTTCCTGGCTTATAGACAGCCACCTTCTTGCTGTACCCCCATATGGTGCAGAGAGGGAAATTTGTTTCTCTTCCTCTTCTTATAAAGCCACTCGTCTTATCAGAGAACCTCACCAGTATGACTTCAGCGACCCCTAATTATCTCTGGAGGGCCCCATCTCCAAATACTGTCCCATTGGGCTAGAGCTTCAACATAGGACTGGTTGGGGTGGGGGAGGGGGAGACAGTGCAGTCCACAGCACTGTCCGACCCTGACAGGCCAGCTCCCTGCAGGAGGGAGGATCAGGCCGAAGCTAGTCTTCCAGGGAGACTGTTCTCTTGCTTAGCTTTTCTTGCTCTGCCCTTGCTCCTCTTCTCCCACGAGCAGCCCCAATAAATCACTTTGAACGAAAATCTCCATCTCAGCTCTATTTTTAGAGAACTGCGGTCAGAGCATCAGGTTCTTCTACCATCAAGCAAGCAACAAGCCCACGCCCAGGACTGACTGCACCGGGCACGGAGAAGGGGGCCACCATTACCTGCCATCGGGAGACCCAGCTGCTCACCCCCACTCTGATACCGGACAAGTTGTCCAGCCTCGCTGAGTCTTGGGCTCCTCTTCCATAGGACGGCAACAACACTGCCTCTCCACTGAATGGCCCAGTATCAAAGTGCTTGGAAAACCACAACTATGAAAACTGCGGTTTTCTCAGAACCAAACCATGCTCTCAGAATCCTGAGCATGCAGAATTCTGCCCCTAACTCTAAGGGAGCCCCAAATTGCCTCCCTTTCCCTTGTTATGGGTTGAATTTTGTCCCCCAAAGAAGATATATTCATGTCCCAATCCCAGTACCTAGGAATGTGACCTTATTTGGAAATGAGAGCTTTGTGAATGTGATTAAGTTGAGGTCATACTAGATTAGAGAAGCTATAATCCAATGACTGGTGTCCTTATAAGAAGATGAAACTTGGACACAGAGACACACAGGGAAGAATGCCATGTGATGATGAAGGCAGAGACCGGGATCCACAAGCCAAGGAACACCAAAGATTGATGGAAACTACCAGAAGCTAAGAGCGAGGCATGGAACATACTCTCCCTCAGAGCATTCCAGAGCAAACCAACTCTGCTGACACTTTCATTTCAGACTCCTAGCCTCCAGAAGAGTTACAAAATAAATTCCTGCTATTTCAAGCTGCCCAGTTTGTGGCATTTTGGTACAGCAGGGAGATTATATACCCCCGGTTCATAGGCACATAGTGGGATTGCCAGAGAATCATCAGGTTGTGATCAAGATATGGCCGAGCAAACCTTCGAGTAAGGAGGAAGACTCTGACCTTGAATTTGAAGAGATGCTGTATTGTACCACATCAGAAAAAGACTCCCCAAGAAATGCCCATAAGAGGTAACCTAGCTAAACCACAAAGGAAATAAATAAGGTGGGGGAAGGGGGACCAAGCTAAAAAGTAACCTAGTATATCATACTAGAGAGTCTAACAGACCTAGGTGATGAAATGTGTGGCTTTCTAAGCCTATTTCCTGATGAGTAGAATGATAATACTACTAGTTAGCGCATTAGAGTTGCTCGAAATATTTAAACAAGATATTGCCTATAAGTGCTTTGCATGGTGATTGACACATTTTTTAAAAACTCCGACGTTAGCTATTGCTTTATTATTGTTTTGTTGCTAACGGTGTAAGTTCTTAGAAGCCTAACTTCTCTGTGCCTTAGCATCTTCATTCATAAATCAAGCATAACAGATATTTCACAAGGTTGTTGTGAGGATGAAAGAGATAACGTGGGAGGCTTTTTTACTGAAATATAATTGGCATATAACCCAGTGTACCTTTATGTGCAATGTGTTGATTTGACACATTTATATATTGCAATATGATTACTGCCATAGCGTCAGCTAACACCTCTATCAAATCACATAATTATTATTTTTTTTTTGGTGGGAACAATGGATGGATGGACTTTGAGGGTGTTATACTAAGTAAGGTCCTGCATACAATGGGTGGGTTCCATCAAAGTCGGATGCCCCCGTAACAGACCTGAGCCAGCACAGTTCCTGGAGACGGACAGTAGAGGGCAGCAGGGTCTCATTTTTGCCCCACTCCAGCTCCAGGAAGCTAAGACGATAGGGCCAGGAAAACCTCCTCTAGAACCAGTGACTGCCTGCTTCTCTCTGGGGAACCCCCAAACATCCCGATGGGAAGAAGTCAGCCACTTGCCTTCCTTTTAGAGAAAAGAGCAATTCAATGGGATGCATATTTCCAAAGAGCCCATTGGGTATCCCGAACCTCAGTTTAAAACAAGGATTGTATTTTACAGGGTTATTTTTCGACTTTTATATGGTGTAAGTGAAGCCCCTCCCTGCATAGGGCTCAACACATCAGAGATGCCGAACCAAACTGGAGCCTCAGAAGTAGACCAAGTTTTGCAAAATCAATCCCTTCTGTGATCAGTTTCCTAAGTTACCAAGTCATAAAACCTAGTTTATACTGATTCATTATAAAGTCTATGGTTTGTGTCACAAGCATTTGAGAAGAGAATTCCTCCAAAGTTTTAGTCCCGTTCTTGTCTGGTTCAGTGTGGGTTTTACGGTAGCTTTATGGCTGAGTATCTACCAGTCCAGCAAAGCCAGGTTTCCATTTTGCTGGAGCTTTGCATGTATTTCTTGAATGCTCCATTCCGGAAGCCAAAGACGCCCTGCTCCTATCTCCCCCTAGTCCTCCTGCACCCCTCCTACCAGCTGTATTATCCCTCCTTCTTATCATTACAAGATACTTCAGAAGTGCAAAAAGTATAGGGAATCCTAGAACAAGGACCCCCGTAGCCACCGTCAGGTTTAAGAAAGAAATTATTTCAAATACGCCAAAAGCCCCCAGTGACGCACACGGCATCCCCACTCCTGCCCAAGTTGTCACAATCCAGAATTTGGTGTTTGTCACCAAGACTATTCCTCCCACTGGGAAAGTCTGCAGAAGCACCAAGCATTCCTTCTTGGTTACCCTAACAAAGGAAATAGAACTGCACACTCCACACCCCGAGCAAGAGTGGGAAAGGGAGAGGGAGAGAAGAGGGAGTGAGGCCTTTCTGAGCCCCAGCCAGCACAGGTGCCTGCAGCGGGGAGGGACTGTGATGGGGCGGGGGCGAGGGGTTTGGGGGGCAGGGTCACGCAGTCCCCTTCCCGCCCCCCCTGCCCTGCCCATCCCTCCACCAGCTTTCTCTCCCCCAACACACAGGTCGACCTGGGGAGCCGGCGCCGGAGCCCCAGCGCCACCTACCGACGACGATGAGGACTTCCCTCTCGATGTGGGCCTGGATGTAGATACGGCCGCGGCGCTCCGTGTGGTCGGTGCCGCACAGGCTGGGGACGTTCATCACGCAGCGCTTGTGCACGTTCATCATGCAGGCTGCGAGGGCGGAGAGGAGCGCGGTTCAGGCTGGGGCCCTCCAGCCTGGTCTCATCTGAAGGGCTCCTCCAACCCATTCCACCCCCTCACCCCCCCCACCGCCCCAGGTCCGGATGGACAGAGGAGGTGGGACTTGTCCGTCCTCCCTGAAGTCTGAGTCCGCACCCTGCATACCCCGAATGGCCAGTTTCAATGCCGCTAGATTTGAGGGGGACGAGGCTCATTACTCAGCAACAGACAACCGGCACACCAGCCCACCCGGGACTTGGGAGAACGTGCTGTGGACCTGGACCCCCAACCCACGAGGAAGCAGAAGCAGCCACTGAGCAAATTGTACTTACTGTCACATTTCATCCCCTGGTGGATGAGTCCATACAGCAGTGACCCACAGTGGTCACAAAACGTGGGGCTGGAGTACGTGTGGATCTTAAACTTGTGTTTGCTCCGGGGGTCCTAAGGCCAAGAGAAACAAACAAAAGAGGCCAGTGTCAGTGTGGTGAGCCAAGGACTCAAAGGGCATCGAGTATCACTGGAGGACTCGCCAAGAACAGTACCTGGCCCCGGCGTTCCTCACCCCTGTTAGGGCCATCGCTGTGCTCTGCGCCCAGATGTGCATTTGATAAATAGTGGTTGAAGGAGTGAATGATTCTGACAGCAGCTGACTCCCAATGCAGCCACAGCCCATTCCCTGTGCCGCCAGTCCTCCACCCGAGCCCGACCTACTGACTCCTGCCTGCAGCAAGGACTCCAGAGACAGCAGCTGAACAGGTCCCCTTGTTCCTACTTTTTTACCCCTTTATCCTCTGAGCATGCCTCTGGAGGGCTCTGGAGTGATCTAAAACCCGAGTCTGAGCATAAAACCTCCCTGCTTAAAGGCCATTTGCTAGTGCCTCATCCCCTACAGAACAGCGTTCAAAGTCCAATGAATAGCCTGCAGGTTGTGGCAGAACCTGCTGGTTTTTCCAACAATACCCATGCTTTCCTTTAGTAATAGAACCTTTGAGTTTGAGCAGAGAGCGTGGCCACCCAATTGGAGACTACATTTCCCAGCCTCCCTTGCAGCTTGGTGTGGCCATGTGACGAAGCTCTGGCCAATGGGATAGGTGTGCTTCAGGGTCCTTCCCTTTAAAAGAATGCGTCCAACCCTCCCTGGCCCCAAACAACTTGGACCCAAACCTGGAGACCTGTGCTGAAATGATAGTACTACACTACTAGCCTTGGACCTTGTCCCTTTGGGCAGACACCTGGAGAAAACCTACCTTCTGTCTTGCCTAAGTCACTATATCTGGGGGCTATTTGTTACAGCAGCTTATATGGTTCCCTAACTAACAAACATGCCCTTCATAACCTGGCAGTATAGTATAGAGGTTCAAAGTACAGACTTTAGAGCATTAACTATCTGGGTTCTTCTCAGCTGTATGACTTTGGGCAAGTTACTTAATCTCTTCGCGCTTCGGTCTCCTTGTCTATAAAATGGAGGTAATGGGGGCGCCTGGGTGGCTCAGTCGGTTCAGCATCTGCCTTCAGCTCAGGTCATGATCCCAGGGTCCTGGGATCGAGTCCCACATCGGGCTCCCTGCTCGGCAGGGAGTCTGCTTCTCCCTCTACCCCTCCCCCCACTTGTGCTCTCGCTCTCTTTCATGATCTCTCTCAAATATATAAATAAAATCTTTAAAAAAATAATAAAATAAAATAAAATGGAGGTGATGGCAATGCTACAAGCTTATTAGCCCACTGGGAAGAATAAATGGATTCATCTACGTAGAATCTTAGAACCTCCTGGCACCCCGTAAGCAGTATAAGCTCTTGCATTATTATTAAATCTCCCTTGTAATCTCAACTAGTCTCCCCAAACGCACACTATGTTCTCAGTACACAGGACTTGTTCACGTCTCCAAACATGCCCCTGTGGCTCTGCATGTTGTCTTTCTCCTTCAAGAGTTGCTCTTCCATCACTGTGCTAACTACAGAGCTCCTTCTTCTCTTTCCCAAAGTCAGCCTGAAAGTTGCTTTCTCCGTGAAACAATGGACTGCAGAGGTTGAGAGCATGGACCTGGGATTCCCACCCAGGGCTGATCTGACACAACAGTCTTTGCCATATGCTACCCCTCTCTTCCCTCATTCGTTCAGCTCATCACGTGTTTACTTAAGCCTGATATTCTAGTAACAGACAGAAAATAAACAAGTGAAAATAAATAGACACCAATAAGTAGATATTATGTTACATGCTATTAAAGTGTTGAGTGTTTTTCTTGAAATGTTCTATATATAAACTGTACTGGATTTTACTGTATGTAAAAAAGGCGAACTTTCCCTGCATGAAAACAATATCTCAATAAGCCCGACTAAAAAAATCTTCAGTCACTAAAGACTTTGGGGGCGTTCACCTTAGAGCTGAGAAGTGAGTGCCTCCAACCCTCCTCCAAGGAAACACCTGTTCATGACCGGTGTTGGCCTGTAGGGGGAGCTCAGAGCTTCCCTCACTCCCTGCTCCCCTCGAAGCAGGAGAGCCGATCTGGCTGGTCAGATTCCAAGGCACTGATTGGCCCCGCCTCAGTGGGTGGAGCTTGCACACGTTCGGAAAGGCACACCTGCCATCTTTCTCTTTCTCTCCCGAAACCCCCTTGCTCCCGGGAGGCCGCTGCCTTCAGACCCCATGGTCTAGACTTGAGAGGGTTAGGGTGAGTGGCCTGGGCCAGCTCTGCTCCAAACCCTGTGGCAAGTTCTCTTTCTCTTCTTGGCTTTTGTGCTCTCTTCTGGTTCCCTGATATGTGGACCTTCTCGTATAGCCAAGAATTTGTTTTGATTATGGTTTAAATTTCCTTGGGCGTACCTAATATAGAAAAAGGGAGTCTCCAAGGGCCTCATGAGCTCAACCTTGAGATTCGGGACAAAATCCCAACTAATAATAAATGGTCTCTTTGCTGGGTTTCACTTTCCTCCACGTATACATCTCCTTGGAATATCTCAGGGAGAAGGATTTGAGCATTTCTGACTACATATGATCAAGAACCTTCTCTGCCCCATCATGTCTCTTCAACAAGAGGAGATGCCAAGTGGCACAAAGAATGGGAAGGTAAATGAAACATTTCCTGAGAGCTGCCCAGTGTCTCACGGGCACTTTCTCCAGTACTCATGATGTTCCATTTGGAAGGTGTTATTCGTTCCCATCTTAGTGACAGTGAAAAGGGCTCAGACTCGAGAGAGAGAGAGAGATTTTCCCCCAGGTCACCCAGCTGGCCCACTGCTGAGCTGGGATTCAGAGCCGGCTCTACCTGGCTCTGATTCTGGGATGCTCCAAGCTTCTCTCCTTTCTCTCCTGCCTCCCCAACTTCATTAATGCCTTTCTGTTCCAGTGCAGCTACAATAGCACTTCTTCCTTCCTTCCTTCCTTCCTTCCTTCCTTCATTCATTCATTCACCCAACAAATGTTTACTGAGTGCTAGGGTCTTCCTAGGCATTGGGGATACAACTGTGAGCAAGGAGCCAGAATGCCTGCTCTCACTGAATTTACATTCTTTTTTTTTTTTTAAGATTTTATTTATTTATTTGAGAGGGAGAATGAGAGAGAGAGAGCATGAGAGGGGGGAGGGTCAGAGGGAGAAGCAGACTCCCCGCCGAGCAGGGAGCCCGATGCGGGACTCGATCCCGGGACTCCAGGATCATGACCTGAGCCGAAGGCAGTTGCTTAACCAACCGAGCCACCCAGGCGCCCTGAATTTACATTCTAATGGCAGAAAGAAACAAACAAAAAACCCCACCAATATCTTCCCCTCCCAAATCTTCTCCATCATAGCATTTAAATCACTGTATTGTAATTACATGTTTAATTTCATCTCTCCGATGCTCAGCTGCAAGCAACATAAGGGAATTTTGCTCTGGGCATATACTGTACTTGGCATATAGGAGGTGCTCAGTAAATGAGCGAGAGTATTTATTGAGCATTTACTCATCCAGGAACTAATTTTCAGGGATTTACCAGGCAGGCATTAACTCATTTAATCCTCATAACATCCCTAGAAGTAAGTACATTACTACACCCATTTCACAGATGAGGACCGAGGGGTGCAGGGACTTGCCCCAGGCTCCCCAGCTTCGGCAAGCCCAGCATTTCGCACAGTGGCTGGTACATATGGAGAGTCTTGAGGTGTGGTAGCAGCTGGGGGGCTGTAAACATCACTGCTAATCACTCAAAGCCCGAGCCATGCATGTGCTGTTCTAGAAAATGACTTGGAGAGCACTGTGCAAGGCGAATTAGAGCCTGACAGGAGAAAGGAAGGCCGAGTGGGCACATGGCAGAGGAAAATTTGTTTCTGGTTTATTTAGAGGCTGTTGGAGGCTCCCCCTGCCCAGGCTTTCAGGAGGGCTCAAGTTGCCAGCAACCCTCCCCCGCCTCCGACCACCACCACCACCAATCCCTCAGATCACCCAGACCAATCAGGTCATCCCCTGATCACTTCTGCCCTCCTCCCTCCTGCTACCTGGGAGAGCTTGGAATAAAGCCACAGTCCCACTGCAGGGAGCCTCATGACTCTAGGATCCTCAAGGAGAATCTTACAGGGTGCATGTTCATGCCCAGTGCCGCCTCTGAGATGGGTGGGTTTGCACTTTGAGACAGCCCACTCCCCCGGACACAGGTGACTGGTGCAGAGGTAGGCACTTGGCTCAAATGACTCACATGTTTAGTGAATGGGACATAGGCAGCCAGGAACACAGGCAGCTCCAGGGCTGATGTGGCCCTTTTTTTACAGTGGGCTCCAAGGAACAGAGAGGAACAAAGACAACAGGCCACGTGACCCGAGGGATGGAGCTCCTGGTTCCAGTCCCTCCAGGGCCTGCCGTCCTGTCCTCCAATTCCATCAGACTCTTCCCATGTCCTCTGTGTCCCGTGTCCTTCAAGCTTATGCCAATCCAAGTAGGCATCTGTTACCTGCAACCAGTGATGGGCATCAAGATATTTCTAATCACTTTGGCTCAGGTACTGCTCGCTGACCAATCAGAAGGAACAGCAGGTTTAGCTGTGCTGGGAGTTAACTCTGTGGTTGCTGGATCGTGGAGAGGTAGGGGGCAGGGAGCTGGCAAGGGAAGAAGTGGATGAGTGGTAGAAAGAGGAGGCTCAGAGGGCCCAGTGGCTATTTACCAATCAGTTTTAAAGTATTTCAAGATTATCAGAACTGGTACAGTAATGCTGGTGCATCCAGGTTAAATATCAGCCTGGCCTTTAACCAAAACACATCCCCTTCCAAGCTTTGAAGGCTGTGGCCATTGACCAGCTCTGAGATGAGCCTGGGAATCCATGCAGCCTCTAAGTTAGAACTTTCCCCCCATCCCAGGCCACACAGACTGCGTCCCCTCCAGTCCGTCTATCACCCATCCCCATCCCTGGACTGGGTCCTCCTTGATGCTCAGAGGTCACAATCTGGAGCCCAGGGGCCATTATCAACTTTGCAAAC